CTGGTTTGAGAGATTTAAGAAGCGTACTGGCATACACAGTGTGGTATGGCATGGTGAGGCTGCCAGTTCGGACCACAAGGCGGCTGAAAAATATGTGCATGAATTCCAGGAGTACACAGAGGCTGAAGGACTGAAACCTGAACAAGTGTTCAATTGTGATGAAACAGGCCTCTTTTGGAAGAAAATGCCAAAGAGGACCTACATTACTCAGGAAGAAAAGGCGCTGCCAGGACACAAGCCTATGAAAGACAGGCTGACGCTCATGTTCTGTGCTAATGCTAGTGGGGATTTCAAAGTGAAGCCATTACTAGTGTACCATTCTGAAAATCCCAGAGTGTTCAGGAAAAACAATGTTATGAAGAGTAAATTGTGTGTGTTTTGGAAATCTAATAGTAAGGCATGGGTCACGAGGGAAATTTTCGTTGAGTGGTTCAATGAAGTGTTTGGCCCTAGTGTGAAGAATTACCTCCTGGAAAAGAAATTGGATCTCAAGTGCCTCCTAGTAATGAACAGTGCACCTGCTCATCCTCCAAACTTGGATGACCTAATTCTGAAGGAGTTTGGGTTCATCACAGTAAAGTTCTTGCCCTCGAATACCACTCCTCTCCTCCAGCCCATGGACCAGCAGGTCATTGCAAGCTTTAAAAAACTCTACACCAAAGCAATGTTTGAAAAGTGCTTGAATGTGACCTCAGACACTCACTTGACCCTACGAGATTTTTGGAAAGAACATTTCAGTATTCTCCATTGCATAAAACCCTTTTAGGTAAGGCTTGGGAGGGAGTGACTACCAGGACTTTGAACAATGCTTGGAGAAAATTGTGGCCAGATTGTGTCGACAAGAGGGATTTTGAAGGGTTTGGGGCTGACCCTGATGAGCCTATGTCAGTTGTTAAATCCACTGTGGCACTGGGGACTTCCATGGGGTTGGATGTGAGTTTGGAGGATGAGGAAGAGTTGGTGGAGGACCACAGCGAAGAGCTAACCACTGAGGAGCTGCAAGAGCTTCAGCAGGAACAGCAACAGATCGCAGCTCAGAATCTTGCTGCAGAGGAGGAGGAAGAGAGATGGAGGAAGGTGCCTTCTTCAGAATTTAAGGAGATTTTTGAAATGTGGGGTAGGATGGAAAGATTTATGGAGAAACATTACCCAGAGAAGGATGTTGCAAGCCATATCGGCAACTTGTACAGTGACAGAGTCTTGGCCCATTTTAGGGAAGTTTTAAAGAGACGCCAGAAACAGAGCTCTCTGGACAGTTTTTTTGCGAGACAGGGGCTCCAGTGACTCTCAAGGTGGTCTAGTGGCATTAAGAAACAGAGAAGAGAAGTAACCCCAGAAAAGCAATTGGTACCCGAGGTGTTGATGGAAGGGGATTCCCCTTCCAAACAGTAATTCATCCAATCAGTCTCCTTCTCCAGTCTTCCATACACAAAGAAGAATCGCCAATAAAGGTAAGTGTTATTCTGTTAATGTTCAATTCATCATGTGCCACTGTATTGTTTATGTATTATATCTATATTTCATGTAAAAAAAATTTTTTGTTTTAATACTTCTGGGTGTCAGGAACAGATTAATGGAATTTACATTATTTCTTATGGGGAAAATTGATTCGTAAATCGTCCATTTCGATAATAGTCCCACTTCCAGGAACGGATTATGGACGATTATTGAGGTGGTGGTGGTGGTGGTACTACTACTACTACTACTACTACTACTACTACTACTACTACTACTACTACTACTACTACTACTACTACTACTACTACTACTACTACTACTACTACTACTACTACTACTACTACTAGTACTAGTACTACTACTACTACTAGTAGTACTAGTACTAGTACTACTACTAGTACTAGTACTAGTACTACTACTAGTACTAGTACTAGTACTACTACTAGTACTAGTACTACTACTAGTACTAGTATACTACTAGTACTAGTACTACTACTAGTACTAGTACTAGTACTACTACTAGTACTACTACTACTAGTAGTACTAGTAGTACTAGTAGTACTAGTACTAGTACTACTACTACCACCACCACCACACATCGAAATGGTACCTCACTAGTATTGCACCTCTGAGCCTTTATATACCCTCTGTGTCCATGTATTGTTTGTAATGGCTTGATAAAGCTCTTGGAGAGCGAAACGTTGCCACAATAAAATGTCACATTAGTTGCACTTGTGTCCTTTTACTTTACATATTGTCGGTAATTCTACCAACTTTATTACAAACTTCAGAACACCCGTGACTTAACCTTATTATTTTTTTTCCTTTCTCCCTCTCTCTTTCGCCTTTACTTTTTTCTTTGGGTTTTCTTTCTTTTGCCATAGGTATTTGTTCTTTCATTATTTCCCCCACCCCTCTGTGTTCTTGCAACTACCCACTGTGGGCCCCTAGCTCTCTTGCAGTGCTCCTTTTTCTTAGTATTTGACTGACTACTACTACTGCCTCCCTCCTCCTCCTCCCTGCTTCTCCCTCCCCCCCTCCTCCCTGCTTCTCCCTCCACCCCTTCCTCCCTCCTCTCCCCCTCCCTCCTCCCTCCTTCTCCCTCCACCCCCTCCTCCCCCTCCCTCCTCCCCCTCCCTCCTCCCCCTCCCTCCCTCCCCCCTCCCTCCCCCCTCCCCCCTCCCCTCCCCCCTCCCCCTCCTCCCCCTCCCTCCCCCCCCTCCCTCCTCCCCTCCCTCCTCCCCCTCCCTCCTCCCCCTCCCTCCTCCCCCCTTCCTCCTCCTCCTCTTCCCTTCTCCTCCTCTTCCCTTCTCCTCCTCTTCCCTTCTCCTCTTCCCTTCTCCTCCTCTTCCCTTCTCCTCCTCTTCCCTCTTCTTCTTTCCTCCTCCCTTTTGTTAGTGTGACTTTGTAAATGGTCTAAGTTGGACCAAAACGTCATCGTAAGCTCCTCTCTTCTATGTGCTGGTAATTTGTGTATTGTTCCAGTATGGTATTGTGGCCCTTTTGTTATTTAAACCTTGAATAAGACTGAGAAAACCTTGAACAACAAAGAAAACTAAAATTGCACGAGTCCATTCTAGACCCCTGTGAGCCGTTTGCTGTAAACAGGTTTTTTTTCCTCGAAGCACAGAAAAAATAACCAAAGTTTGAAAAATCCTTAATTATACAAAATAATACATAGTTTAATAGAGAAAAACCTTAAATAACAGGAAAAAAACATACCGTAATCGAGAAAGAAAAATGAATTAAAAAAACACACGAAATGCAACACAAGGAGTTCACAGTGAATGAACTCACGTCTGGCCGAGACTGACTGCAAAGTGAGGGTCTTTGTTAGGGGTACACAACAGGAAGTGGGGAAAACTGGTGTGTGAAAAAAATGGTGCGGAATGTGAAAATTGGCATGCTGGGCGAACTTTTTGGTCGTGAACTGATTTGTTTGCGTTTGGAAGTGTTCGTGACTAGAGGTTCCACTGTACACGCAGATATAAAATATGAAGTGATAGGTATAGAAGGAAGTATAAAATAAATCTAGTGAAAATACGGGTAGCACGGGTATGATGAGAGAACACTCAGCATCTTCATATGAGCCCATACTGTTCAACATTCTACGAGAAAATATTGATAATACTGCTGGAACAAGTGTAGCCTGATACAAGAAGCTTAGTTCTGCCAAGTGCCAGATCAACCAGGCTGTGATAGATATGTGGGTTGGTGGACTGCCAGCAGCAACAACCTAGTTGACCAGGCAAGTACCAGATAAGCCTAGCTGGGGCCAGGCTATAGGAGTAGGGAAATTCTTAAAACTAGTTGGAGCTACCTTTTGGTGTTGTGCACTAGGTAGGGCAAGAGGTGTTTCCAGGGAACAGCAGTACCACCTGCAGTTGGTGACTATGGTTCATGGTGGGTACATGATATCTTTCTGTTCATTCTTGGAACTGACCACTTTGTTTGCTTGGACAAAAGTGACACAGCCTAATTCTTCTGGATCCTTGGTGACAGTGATAGCCTTGACTGAGTCCTGCATGGCCATAAACTTATCAGAACCTAATATTGCTTTCTGGTAATCTGCAATACTGGCATCCTGCCTATTCCTTGGGGTACCTCTGAACAGTCCTACTGACCATGGAACCTGCCTTCACTGTAGCAGTGATTCATGGATCATTCATGTGTCGCTGGGCAAAGGGGCTTGAAGCTGTCAGCCAAGAGATAACAATGATACTGGCATAGCACATACCATAACCACACCACTTGGGAAGCACTCTTGACTGATACAAATCTTTTGAGCAAGACATTGAACAAGATATTTTTAACTGCAGTAAAGAAACCCAATTCATATTCGATTGACTATATATGAGAACTCCTGACATAAATTAGCCAAGATGTTTACTGCAATGTAAAAAGTGGGATGTCCATTATTAGAGTTGATGCTAACCAGGCCAGTAAACTTAACTCAGCAGCTCCACACCATTGGCAGGATCACAGTGACTATATCACTCCTCCTGCAACTCATGCTGTGGAATGGTTTCTATATCTCACCTGGTTATGCACCTAGACTACAGACTGCTTTAGACAAAATAACAATCTTAACCTGTTAAATGTGTTCAATGGAATCATATGCAAGCGAAGTCAATGTATCAGATTTAGTAGTGCGCACAATTTTTGTAGACATCAGATTTACCGTGCACTGTCAGAATTGCTGTGTAGATCTAACAGTTTCCCATATATTAATATACTGCCTATGTCAAAGCATATAGGATTCACTTTTGTCATCTTTAATGCTCTGATTCAATAATTCTTGCCCTCGTTGCCAAAGTCCCTCTTGATTTTCCTTATGATTCTTGTACACAAACTAACATATTGCACCAACTGTAACTTACCTTTACACAGTCAATAACCCTCAGCTCCACTCTTCACTATCCTTACAACTGTATCCACTATTGTGTGCTATTACCAGTACAGGGTTAACCCTTGTTTTTAGATATAACAATAATGAATTGACTTTTGTGTGTGTATATATATATATTGTTTTTTCTTTGTAGGAACTTTGACATGGATGATTTCAAGAGGTTTTACTCAAATAATGATGAAGAAAAATCTGTGCCTTACTTCTGGGAGAAGTTTGATCCAGAACACTACTCTATCTGGTATTGTGAATATAAGTAAGTAGGCATGTTATAATGTCTTTATAAATTCTTTTTTACTATCATGTTATAGTTTAATTAAAAATGGTAAACAATGCTGCTTATGGTGAATGATTTCCATTACATAATGACTCTTATTAAACCTTTCACTATCCAGACCTTTGAAATTAATATGGCTGTCCTGTCACAATTTAAAACAAAATCTGAAGTGGTAGAGAATCTTTTTCTGAAGGTAGTAACACTAAAAGTATAAAATATGATAAAGAACTTATGGAATTGCACAGGCACAAGATCAGTGATCTGGTAACTATTTACCCACTTTGAGTCTTTTGTTTAGCCAATTCTGTTGCTTCATTTGACCAAATTCTTAGCTATTTTACTAGCATGCTTTCAAATCTATCAACTGAGTAAAAGGAACCATGATTTTCGCCCTTATCAGAGCCATTCAAAAAGTGCACTTTAAATTTGGTATTAGCCTTTTAACACAAAATAAAAAAATCAAATTTAAGCCCCCAAAATGAAGACTTTTCGGGCCAAAAGCTTTTCCCCTCAGGAATTTTGGTCATGGGTTTGGTGTCCCAATAATTGAACCCAAAACCCTTTTAAAAAACCCAAACGAAGCCTCCCCAAGAAATGTAGGGGGCCTTCCCATCCTCGGGAAAAAAATCAGCAAAAAAAAAATTTTTTTCCCTTCTATTTTGAGTCCAGTTTTCAACTGCAAAATTGGTCCTAAAACCCAAAACCAAGATCATCATTCCTAGTGGGTTCATGTATTCTATCATTTGACCCAATAAAATCCCCCAAAAACTAAAAAAAACATCCTGGGAAAGCCTCACCGGGTTTTTTAAAAACCAAAAAACAAGTTAAAGTTTTTTTTTTCCTTAATCATGCACCAAAAGGGGGGGAAACTTTTTTATACTGTGCTCCCCTTCCGGTGCGCAAACTCATTCTCTGAAACTAAAACCAAAATTTCCCGGGCTTGCAGTTTACCCTGAGGGAGTTGTGCCAAAACATTAAAGTATCCCCGGGAAAACCCGGGCAAAAAAAAAAAAAACGTGGGAATTTTACTTGATGGCCACTGAAAAGGTTTATTTTTGCGGGGTGTAAAAAATGAATTCAAAGGGTATTCTAAAATTTGTCAATCCCAAAGGGGATGAAAATTTGTTCTTAAGCACCCAAAAGTTGTAGTAATTTTAATGAATTTGTTCTAACCCCCCAAATCGGTTTTTTTCCCTATAGTTTTATGTGGGCAGGAGAAAAAGGGGAAAAAGGGGGCCACTGGGGATTTGTTCCCTTTTAAGTTGGGCTAATGAGTAACTAAAGGAATGACAGATTATTGCAATTTTCATAATGAAAGGTAAAGGTTTAAAAATTTTTGGGGGAAAAATTCTGTTTGATAATTTTTTTTTTTTTTTTTAAAAACTGGCTATCTATCCCCCGAGGCGGGGGAAACCCCCAAAATGAAACCCCTTCCCCACCATTCATATCATCACTGTTTTTGCCAAGGCCTCTCTTATGAAAATATCTTTTCCCCAAACAACATGGTTTGGAAAAAGTTAGGAGCCTTTCAAGGGGAAAAATGGACATTATTTCGCGGGAAACCAGATCAACCAGGCGGTGTGGATATGTGGGGAAAATTTGGGGAGAAATCGCCTGCGGTTATTTGTTATAAGGAAGGAAGGAAGGCCTAAAAAAAAGACTATGTTTAGCAAAAACCCTGGTTTCCAACTTTAATTTGGGCATAATAAGTTACAAAATTTTTAAGCTTTTGGTGGAAAGTGCTTCAGTAAATTCAAAACACAGCAAGTTTTTTTTCCCTTTGCTAAATTTGCAGGAAATTATTTTGGGGGTTTTTGGTCAGGGACCAAATAAAGGGTTTTTAAATTTCCTACGAGCCAATTTTTTGGAAGAAAATGCCAACAAGAAAAGTAACCGGGCTTCAAGGAAGAAAAGGATGGGCTTATTTTTCTCCTTTGGGGTTAATGCATCAGGGGGTTTTCATGTGAAACCCCCTTGGTTATTTACCATTTCAAAAGAATCCCATGTTTTAAAAGGGGAAAGATTAAAATCCCTTACCAGAAATTTTTGCGGGTTTCAAACCAATCAGCATGGATGACAGAGGAAATTATTGACTGGTTTATAGCCCTCCCCCTTTTTTCTGAAGTCAAGTTTTTTCCTTCAAGGGGAAGAAACCCTTTCATTCAAGGCCTCTCATTCTTGATACAGTAGGGCCGTTTTTTTAACCGGTGTTACATTTCTGAAAAAAAACCCTGTTTTTGACAAAACGGGGGTAAAACAAACTGGAAAAAACTTTTGGGGGAAATAAAGGGTTCCGTTCCCGGGAGCCCCCCCAAAAAAGCCCAAAAAACCTTTTTTTTTAGACCTCCAGATCTTACAAAAAAAAAAGGGGGTATGTAATTGTAGTTCATTGTCTGAAGTTTTTATGTTGCTTTTTTTGCTTAAACCCCCTTTTAAAAGGTCCAAACGTAAGAAAACGTTCACCCTGCGTAAACGCCCCAAAAGAAAATATAAAACGATAAGCCGAGTCACCTAGACATGAGAGGAAATGGGGGTAAACCCCTCAAATGTGTGCCATATTAAAATAATTGGGGGTCCTGGGTAACCCAAAAGCTCTTTTTTTCCCTTTTTAAAAAAAATTATTTTTTTTTTTTCAAAAAAAAGGGGGGCACAAAGCGAGTGAAAAGTATAAATCGTTTGGGGCCGTTTAAACCCTTTTAGGGTCCAAGGCCAAAACTGAATTTAGCACCAGTGTCCCAAAAAAATTTTTTAAAAAAAAAAAAAAAATTTTTTTTTACAGAATTAAAAAGAATTTTTGTGAAAGGGAATAAAACAAAAAAAAAATTTGATTTGATCAGTACTAACCGAGATACCCGTGCCCAAGGGGTTTGTAGAAAATGATGGGTTGGGGGGCAACATCGACGAATTCCCCATACGCGTATTAAATTATTTTGTTGTTTTAGTTGTTTTTTCTTTTCTTTTAAATTTTTTTTTCTATTCCTACTAACATTTGGGCCTGAGAGACCAATACGTATATAAATTTATATATATAAACTCACTGAAATTGAACACAATAACCGCACTAAAGTTATTATCATATTATTGTTTACCATGTTTTTATTACAATTAAACATGCACAAATATTGTATAATACAAATTTGTTCTATCATATATTTACATTTTAAAAACCACTGGACATGGTTTTAGAACTGCTGGAGCTTGTGGAACTCCTTGAAACAAGGCCCATGCACAGAGGCACCTTACATTCCTCACACATAAACCGAGTGTCTTTGCGTCTTTGTTGCCGTCGTTTTGTTTGTGCACAGACAATGCATCTCTTCTGAGCAAATTTCTTTTTAGTTGAAGGAAAGCTGTATTATGAAATGATCACCTTCTCTTCTCAAACGCTTGGGTATATTGTGATGAATTCGAGGCCATGTTGTATTGCAGGGGTTGTTACCTGACTTCATTATGAGTTGCCTGACAACAGAGCAAACAAAATTCACCATACGGTGGTCTTTACCCAGTCCTTTATTGGTACATATTATTTGCCATTCATCAGCATTGAAATGTCTATGAGGATGGAAAACAGTGTCAGTACCACTTGTAACTCTTACGAACACAGTCAGCAAAAACCAATCTGCATTCACACTTTCAACCTAGCGCATGTTTTGTGTATAATCAATCACTGTCACGGTTTTCCGAATACGTTCATTAAGTCACTCGACTCAAAACTTTGCCACTGTCTTTGAATTTCATTATACGGGAATGGTTGTCAACAATGTGAAGATCTCGTTGTCATGCCTCCGTAATGCCAGATGTCATTGGCAGTAAACACCTGCACGTCATCACCAACGTACACCTCTGCGTTGTGCTGGGTATATGTTTACGTTTAGAACGCACTGTGGCCACACACAGCACTGTCTTGTTCACATCGCATGAAATCTCTGAGTAATGGCTTGGGGTACAGTTATCGGTATATATTGGGATGGCCCTTAACCAAGATAAGGTGCCATCCATGGTTTCTCACTACGTCACCGATATACACAAAACATCTTGGTATCGTTCAATGTTTTACTACCCGTGTATACAACAATTTCCAACACCAGGCCACTGTCCACAATCACAGAGTACAAACATTTTATACCAAAGCTGTCCTCCTTGCCTCGGTGATAATACTGCTTGAAGCAGTCTGACCTTTGAACAAATTCAAAGAATCGTCAATTACTAGATTCTTAAATGGATAAAAGTATATCCTGAACTTTGTTTGAGTACATGAAAAACATTTCTAATCTTGTATAGACCGAGTCACTTCTGCCAGGCCGGTTTGTTCATAGTATGCAAAACAAATACTAAGAGTAAGATAAACCGTTCACTGGTATAATTCACTGATGGATGGGTACAAATTAGCCGATCTGTGGACCCAGTATGCTTTTATATTATGCTTATAGACTGAGGCATAAGCATATTGTTGCAAAAAGCATATACATTTCTGCAACAGTCGTCTCTTTCCACCTTGTAGGTCTTGCTGTGGTGTAAGATCGTAGTTGCCATGGTGTACTGAAAATTCTTATTACTTTCCCTGACAATATTTCCATCAATGCTGTCAAAGAATAATTCAAAGCATTCCAGTTCATTGGCCGTGGTTCCAAGGGAAACAGGTAGGGGGTTTTATAAAAAAGGGAAAAATTCCACTTTGCGAGTCTTCAAAGTGGTGAGGGCTGGGAACAAAATTGGGATTTGCTGCACTCCCAGATACGTATGCTGGTGGAATAACTGGACATCATAGCTGGTTGTACGGGGTTGTGGCGGGCTGGTGGGTGACGCTCCCATTGGTCCTTTGAACCTGACGAGTTCAGCAGCGTGGGGTTCCCCGCGTGGCACCGGCGAGTCACGCTTGGCAGTGCCACTACCACCACCAGCCCCACTAACACCATCCACTGAATGTCTGTGGTGTGGCCCATCCATGCCAAGTGTAGCCATCATCTTCCTCACTAGCA